TAAACAAGATTACACTGTATAGCACAGGGAAATATACACAAAATGTTATGATGACTCACAGAGAAAAAAATGTGTTAATGAGTGTGTATATGTCCATGAAGGACTGAAAAATTGTGCTGGACACTGGAATTTGACACAACATTGTAAAATGATTATAAATCAATAAAAAATGTTAAAAAAATAAATTATAGGGAGTTTCTTTTTGCTCAAAGCAGTTCCTAACAAATAGAACTGTAGGGAGAGAAAGGGCTCAAGCAGAGAAGCAGCACCCTGTATGCCAAGGAACATGATGCATCAGGGCGGGGGTGATATTCTGAGGGTTTAGAAGGGCCTCTTCTAACCTGGAGATGCTGTGACAGTGTAACGTGGATATACACAGCTTACACGGCTTTTCATGTCCATGTCATTTTTAGTTTCAACACAATCCTATCGATCAGTTAGGCTGGTATGTTACTAAAGTAGAAATTGAGATTCAGACAATTTGTGGACAGATCTTGTTTAGGTTGCTCTGCACTAGGAGCCCATTCTGTTGAAGAACGTGGATGAGAACTTGGTGCAGTCACTGAGGGGAGGTATAGCCCTGTGGTCAGGGCCATATACCTCCTCTCAGTGGCAGACCTACCTCAAGGGCAGACTCCAGGACACAGGGTTTCGGCTGTGCCACCACCTATATGACCTTGAGCAAGGTACTCAGTTTTATCATCTGTAAAATGGGCAATAATTGAGTTACAGTGAGGATTAAATGAGTTAATACACATAAAAGTGCTGAACCAGTGCTTGGGACACAGCAAGCCCATCTTTGGTGGCCGGTTCTCCCAACCACAGAATGTTGGCGAGCACCGGGAACTCAGTCCTTGGACCTCCCTCCTTCCTATCCGCATGCACTTCCTTGACGATCTCATCCATCCTGCGGCTTTAAGTACAACCTATATGCCAAGGATTCTAAAATTTATGTCTCTAGCCTGGAACTCTTCCTCCAAGTCCAGACTCATACAGCCAACTGTCAGCTTGATATGTCCACTTAGCTATCTAAGTGTTCTCAAACTGACCAAGCCTGATTTTGATCTTCCCCCAAACCTGCTCCTCCTACCATCTCTCCTTATCTCAGTAAGTGGCAACTCCATCCTTCCAGTTGCCCAGCCTGCAGGGTCATCTTTGACTCCTCTCTGTCTCTCAGATCCCATGGCTCATCTGTTAGCAAATCCCGTCAGCCACACCTTCAAGATATATGCACCATCCACCCACTTCTCACCACGTCCCTTGCTACCATCCTGGTCCAAACCACCACTGTCTCACCTGGATTATTGCAGTAGCTCCCTGCTTCAGTCTCTTCTCAACACAGCAGCCAGAGTCATTCCGTTAACATTTTAACTCCTCTGTTCCAGTCACTCAGCCTAAAAGCCAAGATCTTTCAAAAATAAGCTGTGAGGCCCCACAAGATCTCCCCCCTCTTCCATCCTCCTCACCGCCTTACCTCACTGGCCTCGCTTCCCACCCCCTTCCCTACCTGCTGTTCCTCCAACTAGCTGGGCACTTTACTTCCTCAGTATTTATGTATGGATCAGTCTTTCCCTTTGCGGGGACTGCCCCAGGCTACCTTCCTCACCGCCTGTAGATATTTATACCGGCAGCACCTTCTCAGTGGGGCCTTCGTGGTCAGCCTGTTTAAAATTGTAACTCTCAGTGTTCCCTCTCCCTTTTCGTGTTTTTATTTTTCTCCCTAGCATTCACCACTATCTAACATACTTCTCGTGTATCTTACCTCTTAGCTATTTCAGCCATAGAATGTAAGCTCCACGCGGGCGTGGATCTGTCTTGTGCAGCAATGTTCCAGTGACCTGGTACATGGAGGCCCTCAAAAAGCATCTGCTGAATAAATCAATGAAGAAATCCTTGAAGAAATGTGACCTATTATTATTTCAGTGCGCATCTTTGACGTGCCCTACCCTTCGCAAAAATCCTTTGGGGACCCAAAATTTAAACACAACTGGGAAGAAGAAAAATTGGCCAAAAGGAAAAGTGAATTAATAAAGTTGGGGGCCCAGTTTATAAATATACTTTCCTAGATGTTGGAATGTTGGCTAGGCCAACTCTATACCTAATCAAGGAACTGCTGTAACACACGCCGCTCTCTGGCGCAACTTTCCGCAGTTTGGAGTCGGGAGCCTGGGGTTAAGGTCCAAGCTCCA